ACATCTTCTTGATCCATTCATCCGTTGATGGACACTTAGGCTCTTTCCATGTTTTGGCTATTGTGGAGAGTGCTGCTATGAACATTGGGGTACATGTGCCCCTATGCATCAGCACTCCTATATCCCTTGGGTAAATTCCTAGCAGTGCTATTGCTGGGTCATAGGGGAGTTCTATTGTTAGTTTCCTGAGGAACCTCCACACTGTTTTCCAGAGGGGCTGTACCAGTTTACATTCCCACCAACAGTGTAGGAGGGAGCCCATTTCTCCACATCCTCGCCAGCATCTAGAGTCTCCTGATTTGTTCATTTTAGCCCCTCTGACTGGCGTGAGGTGGTATCTCAGTGTGGTTTTGATTTGTATTTCCCTGATGAGGAGGGATGCTGAGCATCGTTTCATGTGTCTGTTGGCCATCTGGATGTCCTCTTTGGAGAAGTGTCTGTTCATATCTTCTGCGCATTTCTTCACTGGGTTGTTTGTTTTTCAGGTGTGGAGTTTGGTGAGTTCCTTATAGATTTTGGATCTTAACCCTTTATCTGATGTGTCATTTGCAACTATCTTTTCCCATTCCATTGGTTGCCTGTTAGTTTTGTGGGTTGTTTCCTTTGCTGTGCAGAAGCTTTTAATCTTGATGAGGAGAAAGCAGGAAACAACCTCCTTGACCTCCACCACAGCAACTTCTTACTTGACACATCCCCAAAAGCAAGGGAATCAAGAGCAAAAATAAGTGTACTTTTTAATCCTATCATCTACATCCCCCATTCTCCCATTCACCTCATTTCTGGTAGCCATCACTCTGTTCTCTATAGTTAAGAGTGTGTTCTCGGTTTGCCTCTCTCTTTTTAACCCCTTTGCTTATTTCTTCTATTTCACATATGAGTGAAATTGTATGGTATTTGTCTTTCTCTGGCTTATTTCACTTAGCATAATACTCTCTAGCACCACATGTCGTTGCAAATGACAACGTAAGCAAGTGTTGCAATGTAAGTGTTGTTGCAAGTGACGAGTAAGATTTCACTCTTTTTATGACTGAATAATATTTCGTGTATATTCCTTATCCATTCATCAATACGCGAACACTTGGACTATTTCCATAATTTGGCTATTGTAGAAAATGGTGCTATAAACATCAGGGTGCATGTATTCCTTTGTATTTGGGGAATAAATACCCAGTAGTGCTATTGATGGGTTGTAGGGTAGTTCTACTTTTAATTTTTTTGAGGAAACTCCCTACTGTTTTCCAGAGTGGCTGCACCAGTTTGCATTCCCTCCAACAGTGCAAGAGGCTTCCCCTTTCTCCACATCCTTACCAACACTTGTTGTTTCTTCTGTTATTTATTTTAACCATTCTGAGAGTTCTGAGGTGATACCTCGTTGTAGTTTTGATTTGCATTTCCCCCTGATGATAAGTGATGTTGAGCATCTTTTCATGCGTCTCTTGGGCATTTTGTATCTTCTTTGTAGAAATATCTGTCCTTGTCTTCTGTTCATTTTTTACTGGATTATTTGTTTTTTGGTGGGGTGAGAGGGTATTGAGTTGTATCAGTTCTTTATATATTTTGGACACTAACCTTTTACCATATATGTCATTTGCAAATATCTTCTCCCATTCATTAGGTGGCCATTCAGAATTGTAATTGTTTCCTTTACTGTCCAGAAAATTTTATTTTGACATAGTTTCAGTAGTTTATTTTTACTTTTATTTCCCTTGCTTCAGGGTACCTATCTAGAAAAAAGCTGCTATAGCCTATGTTAGAGAGATTCCTGTCTATCCTCTCTTGAAGGATTTTTGTGGTTTCAGGTCTCACATTTACGTCTTTAATCCCTTTTGAGTTTAATTTTGTGCATGGTAAAATAAAGTGATCCAGTTTCATTCCTTTTGCATATTGCTGTCCAGTTTTCCCAGCACCATTTGTTGAAAAGACTTTCTTTTTCCCATTGTATATTGATTCCTCCTTTGTCAAAGATTAATTGACCATATGATTATGGGTTCATTTCTGGATTTTTCTGTTCTATTCCCTTGACCTATGTGTCTATTTCTATGCCAGTGCCATACTGTATTAATTACTAACGCTTCGTAATATAACTTGAAATCTGGAATTGTGATACTTCCAGTTTTGTGTTTCTTTTTCAAGATTGCTTCAGCTATTTAGCTTTTATGCTTCCATAAAAGTTTTAGGATTGTTTAGGAATACATTGTTTTAATCTGATAAGTTAAAATGGGAAGTTATTTTAAGGTTTTAAGTAGAACTAATCCTGTGGGCCTAGCACAATATTTCTTGAACCATGATGATTCTATGCTTTAAAAGGAGGGGCGAAACCTAGAAAACCGAAGATTTTTTTTTTAATGAAAAAATAATCTATGGTAAAATGCCACCTTTCCCCATATTCTTCATCAGTAAACTAGCTGACTATAGTATTTTCCTGAAGATGGATTTTTTGCAGTATTTCCTATATCTACTCTCCTTTTTCCATCCTTCTTCCATCTCTCACACTTCAAACCTCCCTCTTTCCTTATATTCTTGGATCACTGATATCCAAATAAGATCTGGATGGTCAAGTGACCATAGAGGACACAATATTAGTGTTATCCTTTTTTCTT